GATTTTTTATTTTTTTCTTAAAAAAATAAATTTAACAATTTATATTTGGACAAAATAAATTTTCACCCAACTAAAATGTGATCAATTTGATGAATTTGATCTTGGTCGTGAACTTTCGTGAACAATCTGCCATTTGGCAATAAAATAATTGACGAATTTGGGCTTGCTTGGAGTTTTCAATTAATGTACTTACAATAAGTTAATAAGTCCCATGTGGTAGTACATTTAACCCTTTCGCTACGCCAGATTTCTTATTTTCGCCGTATCGTTTTGAAATTTGTGTAGTTAAGTTAAGGTAGAAATACTTAAAAGATGAAATTAAGGATTAAATTTGAATAGAAGTGTGCCAAAAGGCGCGAACCGTACAGTGTGAGCAAATTTTCGAAGCGCCTATATGCGCCAATAGTAATGAAAGGGTTAAGAACGGAATTCTCAAATCGGTCATTTCGTATGCAACAACCCAATTACTTCGGTTGTTTTGCTAGTTTATTGGTTCAAAAGAAAAAAACGATTCTTCGAAAGCAAACTCACCCCTGTGCGCAAGAAGATCTGCATTCTCCGCTCTGCAGTTGCAATCCATCGTGACAGGCGGTACAGTTCAACCTAGACACGCACGTTTTGCAGGTATGCAAACAAGGCACGCACACTGGCCTAGAGGGTTGTACCATCGAGTAGTAGCCATCGTCGCACTGGTAAAGACACCGTTTCCCTTGGAGGAGCATCGAGTTTTGACAGGAGATGCAATGATTTTCCGTAGAACCGGAACAAGTCTTGCACGAGGCATGACACGGCTTACAGTGGCCACTGTCGTAATACTCAGAGGTATCGCAGCGATCACGATATTCAGGGGCGCACAGACCATCCTCGTTAAGGGTCCAGCCGTCGTTGCAATTCGTGCAAGTCGACATCGTGCAGGTGGCACATCCAGCTGGACAAGGTACGCACTCCCGTCTTTTCTTGTCGGCGCTGTACCCGACCTGGCAAGAAGCTCGACAGGTTCCTGCAATTTGTAGGATAAACGTCGAATTTATTTTCTTTTCGTGCAACTGTGATTATTTCTAGCACTCATGTGTAACGTGTAAAGTCTGTTTTATGAAATTTTAAATATAGCAGACATGTTTCAGGTGATAAAGTCAGGTGAAACACCTTGTATAATGCAAAAGAAATTCATATCGTCCACTGAAAAAATCCTACTGAGTCCCATCATAGAGGAGTCTTAGAAAATACATTATTATATACATAAATAACTTTTTCTAAAACATTACTAGCTAAATATGTACTTTCATTGTTTTGCTGATCGCGTAGGTGAGCCAAACAGCTAGCAAGGGAACTCGACTAACTTGAAATTTCCGTTTTTTTTTTTAAACTTTGCCAGTTTGTAAGTGACGTCGCTAAAAGTATCACAATACCCTTTTTACTACTTTTTGGTTCTTCAGGGTGAAAACACCCTGAAAACATTTAAATACCAACTGTGAAGTAAACCTAAACAGTCATTACAAAATTATTCAGCCTGAGATTTGGTCATATAACAAGTAGGTCGCATTTCTGCTAATATGTGGTACTACATCTGGCGAAGAAATGTAATTTAACCCTTTAGATACAGATCACACGTCTCAGAGATGAATCCAAATTTTTATTACGCTATCACTACTATACATGTACAGAAAATTTTGGCTACTTTAGTTTTAGCGTTTGTTGGCAGTCGGGACAGCACAGGGACGAGGTGAGTAAGCCTCTCGCTCTACCTTTGATGTTCTCCTGTGCTCCAACGTCACGCGATGGATTAGCACATGTGACCGTTTTGGCCAATAATAAAAATGCGTGTGATCTGATTGTATGAGTGTGTCCGCCACAGCTCTGCACAGTAAGTACACTATTTCCACCAAAAAGATCCTAATTTTTTATATAACATAAACATACTGTTTTTGTACAATATTGTATAAAACCTTACCAAACACATTATACAGAGATTTGAAAAATGTTGCAGTCAGAGGCTTCGGGAGCATGTTGCACTCATCAGAATAAACAAAAAAGTCTTAATGAACAGGGGTACAATCGATATCATTAATTTCGAAGTTACAAGACGTCTTCATCAGTAAAATATTACCCCTGTCTATAGTATATGTTCAATATGTATAGCGCTGGTATTTTGTTTAATTTGCTTGACTTTATAACAACCGACAGGTTACAGCGACTGACTCGAGTAGGTTTTAGATAGACACGCAATAGTCTGTTATTGTGTTACAGTTGAAAACGTCTTCAACTCCGAAATGAACGATTTTCGTGCCCATGTTTATTAACACTGCTTTAGACCTTTTTTGAACACAGCTATTTAATAAGAAAAAGTTGTCAAAGTAGTCTAAGAGACTACACGTCTGTTGTAACGTCTTAAGGATGTCTGTAGTTAAGGGTCGAATCGTATCATAATAGTTTCTGTGCGAACACAATGATACTTATGAACAGCAATGTACATTAGAAACACAACAACGCCTATTTTCCCCCCCGAAAAAACCAATCACAACCGTTCTTCATTTTTACGAATACTCCTCCCTATGAAAACTTTTAATCAAACAGAAATCGATGAAAGTCGAAAGGATGATTTACTCGAAACATTGCGAGCCTCTTACGGATACGCTCATGTCTGGAGAAATAGGTTTCTAGGTTATCGGTTGTTGCAGTCTGTCGTTTTTAAGGATTAACGTCTAGACGAGTACGTACCGTTCAGAGAAAACAATCCGGGTCGACAGGAGATGCATTGGTTCTCAGCGGTGCCGTTACAGGTCTCGCACGTAGAATGACACGGCGCGCAGTTGTAATCTTGCGTCTCGTAGGTGTATAGGGGACATGCTGCGTAACACTTGTTTTCGTACATTACCAGGTGATGCTCGCAACTGGTGCATTTATCCGGCCTATCTTGGCAACTGGCGCAGTTCGCCTCGCAGGGTACACATGTACTGTTCTCTGTGTCTGAAAATACACGGGTATTATTCACGTATAGAGGGACTGCAGTAATTTTGCCCACTTCGATGGAGAATATATACGCGATAAACAGAGCTATAAGGAAACGTGGTATCTGTGACATAAGTGCTTTCAGAGCGAAAGAAGCAATCGGAAGGAAAGGGAAATGTGAAATTGGATGTGAAAGTTGTTACATGTGAATATTACCGGTGAAGTTGTCATGACAGAAGGGTTTAATATTTTTCTTAAACAGAAGCTATTGAATTTCAGAGAGCAACTTGTTTCCTTTTGTAGAAATGAAATATCAAAGGTAATTAGGGTAGTGTAGAGATGATTTTGGGAAAAGCAACAGTAGTGGCATTGAATATTTACTTTTGATTGATAAAAATTGATTAGAAATAGTAGCTTTAGACAGAGTTAAGAAAGAAAAAGAAGAAATTCGAGATCCAAGCTTTTTTTACGATCGAGTAGTATTATTTTACAACACGAAATATGTCAACTACAGCAATCTGTTTTCAATTCGCAAATAATATATAGAAATATTTACTTTGATTGAATCAGTGAGTTGAAGGACAGTAAGTACAAGTCCAAAATTAGCCATTTTCAAACAATTTCAAAACTAAATATAAAATGCGTAGAATTACACGAAGTACCCTACAGTGTTTCACGTAGTCCCGTCAATTTAACGAGTGCGAATACTTGTCATGGATTTGACAATAAACGAAAAAAAAAAAAAAATTAAACATGTGACCAAATCAATGAAGTACAAAGCGAAGCATCAATATTATATCAAGAAATTTGTTGTTGGAAGACTAATACTGGCCAACAAGGTGAAGACAAATTTTTTGAATATTATGCTTTTGAATATTATTATGCTTATTTTAACAATCACTTTTCATTAATAATTTCTACTTCAATTACATCTCAAGTAAGTTAATAAATTGCGTTATTTCTTTAATTTCCCGACTAAAAAGTGGTTTGAGTTGGAAAACAGTACGTACAAGTTCAATGGTTAAGTTCGGTTTGAATTATTGAAAATTTATGAAAAATTTTAACCATAATTAGGCATATATAAAGATGTTCTCATCTGGGTTAGCGTATTTAAATTAGAACAGCACTATAAAATCAATGGCGTTGATGATACACGAAAACTAAGCCTATTCTTTCGACTTGTACTGTTCTTCAACTCGTTGATTCAATTGAACTGATTGAAATTTTTCCTCGTACAATTACTATTTATCTCGATGAAATCCTCTACACTTACTTTCGTAATACCCTTCTGGACACTGCTGCAGACATACTGCTAGATCGGTAACTCGCAGGTGAGCAGGTGCACAGGAGAGACAAGAATCCTGGCCAGCTCCGGCACAGATTTCGCAGGATTCATGGCAAGGCCAACATACGCCTCCTTGGTTCGGGAAGCTCCTTGGAGGACATCGACTCACGCACGTGCTGCAATTGCAATTTTCCAACCAAAAATTCTTTCAAATAGGTACCTTACCGTTCTAAACGCTTTAATCCTATCAGATGGGTTATCCCAAATCCGCTTTAATTCCCTTTAAGAGGCCAAGTAAGCGTTTACCCTTGTTAGTTGCACGCTCACGTTTTCTTGGATCCTTCAGGTGTAAGGCGAGATGTAAATCCCAGATTAGCGATGCGCATAACATTGTTATTCACGTTCGTTGTTGTTACAACGATCAAGGAACAAAATTATATTACAGCTTTGGAAAATAGTAATCCAGATGTTGTGTAACTGTTAGCGTTGTAAAATGAAATGTCAAGGGAGAAATGGACGAGGGTCTGTTTCTTGCTTGCTACAATATTTGTATACATACGGATGAATTTTTTATTGAAGAATTCAGTTTTGTACTTAGAAATGGGAAAATAGATGAAGATTTCAAGTTATTGTCATTTAATTCGTAACAATACATGGGAAAAAAGGCTAAGGTTTCCGTGTTTGCATGGGAAAAGGATAAGAGTGTGCGTTGTACAGTGTCTTCGCGCTATGTTAATACATTTTTTAAGTATAACTGTCAGGTAAATGTTAATTAATCCAGTAATGTCTAGAGAATCACAAAAATCACAGAAATTTAAAGTTCGTTTTACTCAAAATAACGTTAAGCGGACACTCATTCTGTTATCCCAGTACCTACTCTTGAAACACGTATCAGGAATAAATTGACCCGTGTGTTACTTATGCCATTATTAGTTATAATTTAATGGTCACTTGATATAAATACGAAATTCTGTCGACACTGTGTGCATATATCCATTTACAAATTAAAACAGGACAATTTCTAGTTGTTTTTCAATTAAGCAGGTAGAGACATTTTATCGAGATTACTAATGAAAAATTGGGATGAAAAATTGATGTTAATTACTGAAATTAATTAGTAAATGTCGTATTTTAATTGAGCAGATAGAGACATTTTGTTGGGATTGCTGATGGTATAAAGATTAAAAATTGGAGGAGTTCAAAGAATTACTGACTTTTTTCTTATCTACGAAAACAAATAGAGTTTAACAATATTCGATTAATTCCAATCAATGATAAAAGTTAATTAAAACGGGACAAAATTGTCATGTTTTAATTTATAAATGGATAGATATATGTATTGTGTCCCAAATCAATTTCCGATTTTCTTATGATAATTTGTAAAAAAAAAAAAAAAAAAAAAAATAAAATTCTAATCAACTTTTACCATGGATTAAAATTAGTTGAATATTGTTAAACTATATTTGCTTTCGGAGGTAAGAAAAAGGTCAATAATTCTTTCAAGTCCTTCAATTTTTAATCTTTATACCATTAGTAATCCGACATTTACTAATTAATTTGTGAATAAATAAGCAATTGAAACAATAATTTCTCAATACACATACATGCATTCTAATTCGATGCACTGAAACATTACTATTAAATTGCACCGAGTATCACAAGTGCTCTTCATTTGATATTTACATATAATGAAAAATGACAGAGGTGAAAATGAAAAAAAATAACATTGAACGTGGATTAAAAGAAAAAAAAAAAAATCGCCAACAAAGGACATCGTTTACGTGTCGCACGTCGATTTTAACGAAAATGTGTGATGTAGTAATACTTAAAAAAAAAAATATTCGACACGTATCTTCTTTAAAGCAGTTTAATTTGAAAGTATGGAAAATTAGAAAAAGAGTCATTTCATCGTCAAATAGTTCTCCGGCTGGCAAGGTTCGGAAAAATAATCGAGCTTCCTGTTTAAACAGCAGTTCCATCTTTCATGAACACGCGATGAATCTACGGTATACATTTACGTAATAATACAGAGTACACAGTAAGCACAAAGAAGCGAATACCAAGCTGCTTTAATCTTGCGGAATTAACAGTCTATGTTTTCCGTCCAGTAGCGCAGGAAAAATTTATCTGACACGTTATTACGTGTACGAATTAAGTACTCTTCGTCAGAGCCAGGCAACCATGAATGAAAAAAGTATTTAATTAAAATGTTCCACTAATACTCGAGTATCGTTACTTCCTTGTTATTACTGCGTTATTGCAGTTTTTCCATTTAGAGCGTACTAATCAAATAAAATATAGGAAATCAACGGAGATAGCAAATATTACGACACGTGACATTTTACAATGGTTTTTCCAGGAAAATTTCACAATTCTTCGAAACATACAAGAAAGAAAGTTACGATATTAATAATTCACGACTTTTAGAAGATTTCCAAGAGCAATGTAAAATGTAGAACTAGCAGATGATTACGCAATATTGAATTTCATAATAAAATATACGTGAAAGTAGCCGTGAAAAAATTGATTAAAGGAATATCAAATTTTCCCTGCGAACCAGTTATTGCCAGACCGAAAATTCACCGTTGTATTTTTGCAAATGCTGGCGGGGCAAGGTGGACGTACAACTGGCACAACGCACAGCGAAATGTATTATGAAAAGAGGCAAGTGGTAATTCGAATAAGGTGAGTTTTCAAGGTTTTTGTTAGCAATTTCTTTCAACGTGAAACAAACAGATCTTTAATAACAGTGTTACTTCGAAGCATTTATTGAAGCGAAGGGAAAAGATAAGTTACTTGTCAGTAATATTTGTGCATGGCAAATTGGCACCTTCTATTGTATTTAATTCTAATTTATTTTATTCCCTTTAATTCGCATGGAATTATTTTTAGTACGGTATTCAGTCACAGATATTATTTTCACTGCAAATAAATGATTTAAAAGTTGGAGGAACTTTAGATGTGGAAATTGTGGAAAAATGTAACGAATAAAAAATTCAAGATGATTCATGAAACGAATTGTAGAAAAATTATTCTTTCGTTTCGCCGATAAATATATGATATCGGTAATTTAAAAAAAAAAAGAATTCAAAAATATTAACTATTACATATCCATTTAAAATAACTAACACTGCACTGTGATAACTTTAGAAAAGAATATAATTAAAAATACACAATTGTAAGAAATTACGTTGTTTTTAGAACAGGTGAAATGACGTATTTATTTATGTAAAGCGTGGAAGTCCGAAACAAGCAAGATACGAGTTAGCATTGTTTTCGCGAAATAAAAAGAAACGGAACACAGTACTAAAACCGACGAGGAAAGAAGAAGTCTAAACATTTCTGTACACGTTGTTGCTAGCTCCGCGTAAACTTTGCCGTGAAATTTTAAAACTTTTCTTTAACCTTTTGCCTTTGAACCTGTGCAATTTGCAAGAATTCCGGATTTTTGCCGCTGTCTCATTCTCGAAAGGTGAAACATACTTTTGTTTCTAATTGGAGCTGCGGGATTCTTTGTACAAATTTTTTTTACAGCAGTCCACACGACAAATCTAAAGGAGTGCACACAAAGTGTAGATAAAAAAATATCAAGCGCTGTAATTGCAATTCGCACAAAGATTCTTTTCACGGTACAACGTGACATCTTTTTCATAAGATCCGTGGTAAATTCACGATTTATCATAAATTGCGTTAATTTCAACTATTCATTTCCACTTCGAACGAATATGTCATATTTTATATTTATTTCCTCGAAGTTCTTGATAAACGTTTAGATTTGTAACGGAACAGTCGGTACACATTTATCTCGGTAAAATATGGAACAGAAAGGTGTAAATTTTCGTATACATTGCGTGCATCGAAAAGTAGTCAAATTCTCAATTTAAATGTAAATTTCTTATTAATACGAGCAAAGAACCCGGTGCTTCGTGATAACGAATGCACCAACCAATGAAACAACAGACTGAAAAATAGAGATCAACATGATTGCCATTCAGACAGATTGTCTACAAGTGGATTGCTTATTACCTGCATAAAATATCGTTACGCATTCTATTTTTCGTTAATTGACGACGAGCCTTCGGGAGAAATATAAAAAAAAGCGTCGGACTGATATGGTTTCACATTAGAGTCTTCATTGGCAATTATTCACGCGGATTTGTCACTTTGCAGTGCTGTTTCAGCTTGTTTTTATTGGCAATTTTCCACGCAAATTTAGTAATGCACAGTTCGACGATAACTTTTGTATTGGCAATTTTTTGTAGCTTGTTTGTAGTCTGCAGTTCTATAACGGGGAAATCTACCGTTCACATAACAATACATATCTGCATACTCAAATAAAACGGTTCAATTAACCCACTTTTTCGAGATAAATCTGGTCTTACTGTGCCAACTGGTTACAACTATTTTATGTTATTTTATGATATCTCGTGGGAAGTCGATCAGGAAATATTTACCTTCCGTACTTTGTTACAACTGTGTATCTATAGAAATTTTGCTCAATTTAACTGTTACCATGCCAAGGTAATAGTTTTATAATAATGTAAAATAATAAAGTTCTACGACAAATATACAGAGTGAATCACATAACGTGATCACCTCTATTATTTTCTTTGTTAGTAGACCGATCAAAGTTCTCTTTTGTCACAAATGATACAGTATCGAAGGACTTTCAAAGTGATCACATTAGGTGTATTCTATGCCTTTTTTAAAAATAACTTTTCAAGATCACCTTCACTATTCCGATCTGATTTCTGGTGTACCTTATTCACGATGAAATTTTTCCTCAACCAAAATTTGCCTAATGGAATATTAAATGAAACTAAATTTTCTATCTAAATAGCAGCATTTCAAAGCAAAAATTCGCTTCTTACGCCGACATGTAACCATTTATTTATTTATAACTCGAGTAAAAATTAAAACCTCGAAAAAAATTCTACACCAGACAATTTAGAATGGATTTAAGAATGCGTGTGCAAAATTTCGTAATAATTCATTAAGTTTGTAAATACCGCTTTTGAAATTTCTTGCACGAACATGCAAGGTTACGCAGCATTTCAACAAATTAACATAATTTCCAGTTGAAATTTCGATTTTGGCCAAATAGTATCTGTTTCTTAAACAATGAAGTATCAATTTGTGGAAATTAAAAGAAAACCGGTCAAAGTAGTCTCTCCCCTTAAAATACCGCACTTTGGAACAGTTTCACTACAAGTATATACAACATTCGTGTAAAAAATACTAGGAATACAAGTGTTAAAAATGTTCAACATAGAAAACAACAAATAACTGGAACATCACTTACTTGTCGAGCCGATAATTCTTGCAAGCGATGCACTGGGTGGGCCCTTTCCCGTAACAGCCCTGAGGATCGCACTGGGGATCACAGTCATGAAGAATTTTTCTAGTAGTGTCGAGCGAGTCGTCCCCGACTTGGGACGAGGACGCCGGTGAATCGAAGGAAGACGACGTGTCCCCAGGCAGTCGATTGGTCAGGATAGGAGCTGAAGAGCCGTCTAACGTCGCCACAGACGCCTGGACGTTGGACGCCGCGCCGACGTACGGGCCCTGGTAGCCCTGAAAGGTAGAGGAAGGAAAGAAGTCGACGTCGCCGCGATGGCCCAACGCTAGCGAGTCATCGTCTACAGGGAATGGATAATGCACGTAGGCGTACGAAGAATGCGCTTGTACCGGGTTAAATTGACGCGTTCGTTTCCTGATCGGGTTGATCGCGGTTCCATAGAAGATCAGCTGCCACTTCTTTAGGATCCCTGTAACAGTAAATGATATCATTTTTATCTTTAAGTTCCTTTGTTAAATGTTCTCCTAATGGTTACGTACAATTAACCCCTTAACCTATGATTTCTTTTCTGACAATGCATCTAAGCGTCAGCCATTTTATATTTTAGTACTGTATCAGGTAACAAAAACTAATCTGTCACAAGTTAATTACACTTCGTAATCCTCTGTCTTATAAATTCAAAGGAAAGTTAGGATTACGATTAATTTTTCTTACTAATATAACGATTTTTGTCACATCTTCACCAGAATCTCTGCCACGAGTCTGACAGGTTGCCATATGTTAAGGGGTTAAGTATGTACAATATTATTTAAAAAGTCATGACGATTTCGATACATCTATCAACAATCGCTGGAGTAGGCTGTTCATTTGGACCTTTTGTACCTTTTGGACCTTTTTTTGTAACACTTTGTCGACTGAATGGCCCTTTATCAAAGTTGACTGTGGACAGTTTGGAATATATTATGAGGGTGGTACGAGACAATTTTCTTCTCCAGTTATGGTGGTACGAGCAAATTTTATACGTAATTTAAATGGTTTCAAAGAGTGAATAAGATGGAAGAAAAAATTTTGTATAAATGCTATTTGCTTTTGTTTTTTTCAAGGTCACCTATGTATATCTACATGAATTTATATATTTTTTTCTACTGTATGCTGTAGCATAATAATATGACCTTGGCTCTAAAATTTTCAATCAAATGTTCAACTTTCTTTCATTTTTTGTCATTTCCTCTATCAAAAAAATTTCACTTTCATCTTATTCACCCTGTCAAACCATTTACATTACGTATACAAATATTCTCGTATCATTATAGCTAGAGAAGACAAATAGGTGGCTTGTTTTACGTGACCCACTCTGTATAATGGAAAGTTGAAATTTGGTCTACAAGTTAGAGGAGGCATGACTCTACGGTTTTTGTAATTTTATTTCTTTCCCATATCGCTGATTTAAATATGGCGTGAGTGATTTAAACATTTTTGCTTATTTCTAATAAACATGGCGAATCATAGATATCCATTTGGTACGAAGTAAATGTTGGAATGCTATATGTAAGTATTATTTCGTTATTTTGATAAAGTTGAAATTAATTAATAGAAATGTCAACGAGAGAAAGCAAAAACTGTAACGTTATCATTATTAACAAGAACGTTAATTTGAGCATCTGGCATAAATAAAAGTTCTTCATTGACTAACGGCTACACATAAAGTAATTGTAAAATAAACATTATTTTATTATATATAATACTGTGAATTCACGTAGTCTAATATTATTAACAAAAATATATTTCATTCCGGTATTTTTCTCTCGCTAAAGAAATATGATTTCTCCACTCATTTGCCATATTTATCCCTAGATCTAAGTGCTCGATGATGCGAGTGCGTATGACACTTGATTCCTGAAAAAATAAACGTTAAATTAAATAAAAGAACACTTCATACTTATTTTAACTCTTAAATAAAAAGATCTTCAAATAGGTATTAAATTTTTAGTTATTAGGTTACTAGCAAGAGATTGAAAAGGCGCAAACATTTACGCCATTATCATTAGTGGCTTTTTTCACAAAAACAACAAGGTTAAAAAAGACGAAACAGATTTTGTGTCATTCAAAAATTTTAGTTTTGAAAAATGAGACAGCTCTCAAGTAACTGAAGAAAGTTAAATATGATTCAAAAAATGTTGGAAATTTTCAACATGAACCAAGAAGCGGTACAATCATAAAATTTAACTAAAGACGAATTTCGAAAATCTGTGGGAAAAGATCTGGTAGTAACGATTCGTGAATGAATTAATGGAGTCAGTTAGCAAATTTTAACAGTAGATTTCACATTTTCTTCCCCCCCCCAAAAAAAAGTAAAAATAAAAAATCTCCAAAACTGATGATAAAATAAAGAAAATAATCCAACAAAATCCGATATAAATATCATCCGATTTTGGGATTATTTTAGGTGATCAATTTGATAATGTTTCATTTGAGAATTTATTATTATTCTATTACCCATTTTTGCAGTATAGAGTTTTAAAAGCTATATAAAACAAAAGTTGTATAATATAAATCCACGAACTCTGGAAATAACTTAATTTTGAAAATTTTAATCCACTTTAACCGTTTTACGAATTTTAGTAAGTTTTAATATTTCACAAGGTCATTAGACGACAAAGTGTTATCTGTATTGTTAGAACTGGTTAATAATTAACTTTTTCAACAAGCATGCAGTTTATAACTTATTCAAGTGTTGAAAACTTAAAAGCCATGCACTAATGGCTATTTACCATTTGCACTAGTGCAGAAATCGAAAAATTGTCAAACTACAGATCGGCAAAACAAAGATGAGGCTGCTGACGTTATCGTCAATGCGACTACTGCTGGATTACTCGTCGAATTTATTAGCCGAAATTATTCCTTGAATTAATTATTGAGTGCTGATCCGTTACCATTTGCTCACGCAAGGCTCGATCGTCGCCTATCATTCTTCATAGAAGACTTCACTATTGTATCTTCCACTTCTAGACCCTAAAAGACCCGTCTGAAGCCTCGTCTTTGCCTTATCGATCTGTACATGAACCACTCAGAAGCCAAAGTGACTAACTCCATAAAATTGAATTTATTAAATATTTTTTACTTATCAAGAATTAAACACTAAGCATGTGCTTTGATACTAAAATTAGAAGAATATCAAAAAGTGGTGTTAATCATTTTGCCTTCTGAATGGCTCACATATCAATTCGATTAACTTCGCATAGTAATATAATTTATGATAAACGAAAGACTAAATATTTAATTAAATGAAAAACTTCACTCAAACATATCGTCTGTTTGTTAGAAGAGTACATTTTTCAGGAAATCGGTTTGAAATTTTCTGTGATAGAAAGTTTTTAGTTACTTAACCATATAGCAACGAAAAAGTTTTCTTTTGCAATTTAGCTAATAGTCTTTGGGTTTTTACGGGTCTCTAATAAAATATTGCTTATGTGCATTGCTTACTATTAAAAAAAAGGGCTAAAGCAGTCCTATTTTGAATCGTGACATTGTTCTTGTTAAATAAGTATAACTTTAATTTCAAATAAAAATACCTCACTTGTCGAGTTATTTTTTGCAGATATCTGAAAATTAACGATTTTTGCAGATATCTGAAAATTCACGAATTTCGAGATGTGTCACTCTTCCAGCAAACCGACGATACGGATTCTGTATTGAATTCAAATAACCAATTTGTAGTATATCGATTTGAACGTTGAAACACTACGAATACTTGCCTGGAGAGTTCACGTGCCGACTTCCTGCGTTAATGATCTGCAGGGTCCATCGACCATCCGCCTTCTCACCCCAGAAGTGTACGCTGAGGAAGGGCCAATCGTCGAAGCTCGAGCTGAGGACGTCCCGTGGCCTCTCGAAGAGTAACGTCGACGTAGTGCCCATTGGAGAAGTCAACAGCAATCTCAAGTTTCCACGTGGGAAGAACCTTAACGAAACCTAATGGAAAAATAATATTCCCTTTGTCTTTATCCGCTCAAAAGGTGTAAGAAGACATCCTCCAATATTACTTCAATAACGTTAAAACCAATATTTGTGATTCTTTAAAGAATCCATTATAGAATAAAAGAATTGATTAAAATAATCTGTGTTATCGTTTACGCTAATTTTGTTACTCCTTGACACTCAATTAGTGCTGTCTTATTCTTTAAATATTGAAATATTAATCATGTACAGTTACTCCAAAAAATATTTGGACACTATACAAGCTTGCCTTTCTAGTGATATAGTTCGGTTAATTATAACAGGATTAGGTTGATGCTTTTTCGTTGTGAAACGTAAATTATTGTAGTTAAAGATTATATATTGTTAGTTTAATGCATTTCCGTACATATTAGGTGTAGAAATGAATTCTTTCCGACTTCTGGGGACAATCAGTGTTTCATTTGAAAAGAATGAAAACAGATCAATCATCGAAATAATTTCTATTACTGTTGATGACCTTATGCTATTTTTCTGACAGATTGCGAATACCACCGCGATAGAAACTTGGTGGCTTTGAATCAATTATGTGAATCCAGTCGGAAAGAATTTATTTCTACACCTAATAACATTGTCATACAAATTAATCGAAAGTATGTTCAATTACTATGTTGCACAAATATTCGGACATTTAGCAAAAATGAACATTTTCAATATTCATATTATTCATATATCCATAACATCTTAAATATTCTAAATATTTCTGTCTGTCATGTTTAATGGTTGTTTTATTAGCGTCTGAATATATTTGGAAGTAATTGTATATTGAAAATGAATGTTTCAAACGAGTGAACCAACAATTTAGAACACACTTTTCCATTGTTTATAAATTGGAACAATATCTTTGCTGTAATACTGGTTTTTAAAATTCACGTGAATTGTAAAATTATATTATTCTTATTAAACCTAAACGGGAAGTCTATTTCGTTCTTTCATTAACAAGTCAAATTTTACCTCATGGTGTGCATACGAACAAACTTTGTTCCTTTACATTAGAATACATTTTCAACGTTGGGAGGGTACTGAATAAAAGAACGAACGATTAGATGAGAAACCCATAAGGGGAGCATTGCATGAAAAATCTGACGGAAGGAAGAACACCGGAGGAAAGCGAGAACGTTTATAAAAAAAATTTATTTTCACTTTATGTATATGTAAAAGTATATTTTGTTCGGGCTTACGATTCGTGAAATGGGTCTAAAAAAAAATTTACATTTTAACGATCCGGTGAATTTATTCCTTCTATGGGCTGAATTTGCAAATGTACGTACATAATACGAGAATCTAAAGGATTATTGCCATTAAAAGTATATTTAAACTGAGCTGAAAGGTATTAGCTACTGCAGAGAGAGGAATATTGCGTGATAAAATACTACGTTTTTTCGAACTCGTATGTAGAAAAAAAAAAAAAAAATGTCCCAAAGGTAACTTTTCTCTGTAAGTGAAATCTACAGTATTGAAAATGGTTTCGTACGAGAACGATTGTTACAGCCTTGTGTTGAAATATCTATTTCAAACTATTTTTTGCAGTCGAATAAATTACGCGTATCGCAATGGAAAGCTAAAATTGAAAGAGCCAATAAATGCTTAACAAATTTAAAGGAACATCAAGATGAATTAAAAAAAAAGTACTTCTGTTTACAAGATACCAAGTTTACCAAGTTTAGGAAAAATTCAAAGCAACGTTTAGATCTGTTTCCAATCGAGAGAGCGGCAAAAACTAAACGGAATTTTACTCTTCGCTTGCAAACGAATCCAACGCACTCCTCAAATTATTCGTAAGATGAACAGGGGTAGTTATCAATCGAACTGTATTTTCTGCAATGGAGCGTGGATGCTGAGTTTTTCGTGGCAACGCTCCATCGCAGAAAATATATTTCGACTTACATCCGTCCCAGTTCACTTTGGTGATAATTTCAGAGGTGCGCTAGATTTGTCTTCATTTAAGGGGGTGCACCACCCTTGAGGTCTGAAAATGATACCTAGTTTTGGCTTTTTTTTTTTAGAGAAAATAATTTACTCAGTCGAAAACTTTTCATAAGGGCTTTATCGTAATAACCCCTCAAAGAATGTAGAAATATTTTTTCGTTTAATTTCTTTGCAAAATGGCAGCGTTACAGCCGCGTCGTCGAACTTCTATTTCAGACGCACGCCTCCACGATGTTGTTTCCTGCTGCCACACGGTTTGACTTGGAGCGAAATATCAAACATTTTTATAATCTACATGTCAAATACTAAAGAAGTACACAGAATTTTAAAAAAATATTGAGTTTTATAAAAATGACGAGCATATGAAGAAATAATCACATTTTTTCCCAAAATTTGAGTATAAAAATGTTAATTGCAGAATCTCTCTTCGAATAATTCAATATATTGCAAAAATCCTATGTATTTCTTTAGATTACATAGCAGAGAGTATTTTGAGAAAATTTCAAGTGAATCGGATGAAAACTAGAAATTATGGACACTACCGACTTTAAAAATGTCATTCAAAGAAAAACGCGATTAAAATTTCGATTACTGATTGACGGCGCTTCGTGAAATCGGCTCCAATGGTATAAAACCATTAAAACTATTTGGATTACATTTCTAAAAGTATAAACCATCAATTTAAGCAAAAAAAAAATTGGATTTTTTCAAACCTCAGGGATGCTCTAACTTCTTAACGAGTAAAATACACCTTTCGCTTTTTGTCCTTATCGCAATTAGCAACAAAGGTTGGAATTTTTCCTAAATTTTACCACGAACTTTCCCAACAACTCAATGGTAATCCTGCATTTCATTCGTTCTTGTTCATTTCCTTACCTTGCACTGCACGTGCTCGAGGAAGCGGACCTCGTTTAAGGATCCAGCGCAACCGGTGACATCCATGTACACGCTCAGCGTGTAACCGTAGGTTGGATCGATACGCCTCTCCTCGCTGATCTCATCGGACTTGCAAATATGTTGAGGTGGCACGTTGGTCCACTGTTCGGCAAGGTTCACCATAGCGCCTGCGTCCATGAGCCCATAACCGAATTTGTGGGAGACCTTTCTCTTCACCCCGTTCAGGATCCAACCGGGCTCCTTTTCAAGTGGGCCAGATCTCGAGGTGAGGACCACCAGGTACTGCATGTCCCTCCACGTGAGGCTCGGGTTTGCCTCCAATGCCAGGGCGGCGATGCCAGCGGCCAACGGGGCCGAGGCTGAAGTTCCTGTGTGCTCGACCGTGCAAATATGATCTGGCCTCAGTTTCGCGTCCATGTCTACAAGGCTTGTAACCACCTTGAGTAGCACTCGATATGGACAGCGTAAAGATACTGTTCGTGTAACCGTCGCAATTGCACGAGTCCGTGTGCCGACCACCGTTACCCGACGCCCACACGAAGATCGAGCCCTTGCCTTTGCGACCCTGTCGTACGTTTGGAAATTGTTCAATGGTATCGTTTTGCAAGTACAGAGAATGAGAGAGAGTGGTACTCTCTGATTTCGAGACAATTTTCTTATTCGAAAGTTTAGTTTTGGTAGCACAGACGAAGGTAGCATTTAACGCTAAAAGAACTGGCTGTATCAAAATGAGCCAACTTCCCAGAAGGGAATTTTACTAGAAAAAATACTTTTTATGTCGATGCAAATAGAAATAAACACGCAGAAAACACAGAAAGTTACAAAGGGTGAGACTTATCAATATCGAAAATTCATCTTTTTTAGGTAAGTTGCTAATGGCTCATTTTGACCCAGTCGACACTTCTAGTGTTAATAAAGAAAGGTGGTAATTGTTATAATGTGGCAGAGAGAAATTGGAGATATGCAGTATCTGTATAATCATTCTTATTAGGATTGCAAATATGGAATATTTCTTGGTCCATAGATTTAGTGACAAAATTTTGTTCAACTTATTTTAGTTTTTCTTTTGTGAAAATTTTTGATGGGGTTTTTGAAGGTAACTATAATAGTTTGGGCGCATAGTTAACCAGCAAACTATTATAAATCGAATGATTACCTTTTTACTTTAAAGTAAATCATTTTCTTTGTACCAATAACAAATGTTATTCTTCTAAATAAAATAACGTAAATACTATTTATTTACTCTCTTCTCTGTTGAAATTATACAATACTAAACAAATTCTAATTAGGTGAATGGAAACCTTTTCAACTGATTAAAAAAAGGTGATCTTTTGATTCAACTGGGGAGAGTGCTCTTCGCCTGTCTTTTGTCGTGTCGTATCGGTTGACGTACCCTGCCGTCCATAAGTATTAGGACACCCGTTGTGTTCGTACAGAAAGCATTATATGATTTAAATTACATTTCCTCGCCAAAGTTGGTGTCATACGTTAGCAAAAATATACTTAAAGCGCCGGTTATTTTGTTGGAAACTTTAATTAAAGCACCGCAATATTTACGAGTTTTGTAGAAACATGCATTTTTACAAAATAAAATAAAATAACTCTTGTAAAACAGAAAATTTCCATTCAAAAATTTTACATAGTGCTTATTACAGGCACAGCCACGATTTTTAATGATATAAATATTCAGCCACTTGCTGTTCAAGAGATATAATATTTTTTTCTCCACAAACACGTAAAAACGCATTTAGGCGGGTCCAGCGCTTAAAGTGTTATTAATTCTGTAATGACTTTTGTATGTAAAATTTTGTAACGTCAGCGAGGCTTGCTTCACATTCAAGAAATAGATTTTAGTAGATTTCTATAGACTTTAGTAAAATTCAGTAGATTTCAGTAAGTGTCCTAATACTAAACGAACGGAGGAGCGTATCTCAAAAGACACGAGAGAGAGAGAGAGAGAAACTACACAATCGAATGCAACTTACGCTGGTTACGCCATAGATGAACGCCCTCCTGGCAAGAGGGCCAGGACCATCGACGGTTTTTCCATCGTCCTCCGGGCCCCAAGATGCGCTGTATATATCGATGTGATCAGGATTCAATCCCAGCCCTCTGGCTTCGACGGCATCGTTTACCGGGCCATCGAGCATTCGCACGCCTGAGAACACGGACGGTATGTGCGTTAGATAGCTTTCTTTCTCGTTGCCTGCGCCTACGAGTTTTCACATTTCCATGGAATCCGCGCGCAAGCCTTTGCCACGAAACGAGCTAATCGCAAGAAACATGGCCCCATGGAATTCTAATTGCATTTTCCTTTCATTTTCCTCTCTCCTTTCTCTCTTTATCTTTCTCCTGGTCGATCGACATCGAATTCCATCGGTGGAGAACGCGCCTCTTAAATGCCGCGCGTTACACGCTATTTCGAACGCGTTAAATCGAACACGAACTATCGACATGCATTTTAATGGAAACGAGCCGATAATGTTATCGGAACTCGATATCCCCGCGAGGGAAAACGACTTACAACTGGCGACTCGATGCGTGAAATGAGTGACATTCGGATAATTGTTACGGAGAAAAAGAAGACCGAATGAAACGTAACGCGAAGCGTCGGAAAAAAGAAGTTCTGTCCTTCTTAGTTCGATTGTCCTGATTAACATTTTTGAGCATCCGAGAAAAATCAGGTAAAAACTAGTAGAAGTAACTGTAAAAATTAGACTGTTTCTAGAGCCGTACAAAACACAGAGGACATTCTAACTTTGCTTAAACGGTGGAAAACACGTAGACCTTTAAATATTTCAGAAAATCCGGAAGAATGAACAAATTAGAATATAAGACGTTTTAGCTTCATGATAAATGAGACTACAAGCGCAACAGAGGCCTAACCCCAAAAAATTTCTTTGCGTACTATAGCTAATGAAATTGTCGACGTTGTAAAATATTTTTTTAAGTTTCTATTTTTAGGTACACATGTATTATTTATCCCGTGAATGTTTTTGGAAGGTTGCTATAGAACTAAAGTTCTGCTGTATACGAGATGGTTTATGCCGAAATGTGAATTCACCCAAAATTGTGGGTTATGCCACTACTGCGCTGATAGCCTCAAATACGCAGTATTTGGAATGTAGAAATTTCGAGACACGTTAGGGCATTCAATGATGATACGAATGATACAGCGATTGATATTTCTGGGAAACATCAATCACTGGCTGCTCTCGGCACTGAAATTTCACCGCTAAGTGTTGCTTTTTGGGTATTAGAATTACGTATTATAAATTATCATAATTTTACATATTACACTAGGTTATTACGTGTAGTTCGAATTTTGCGAATAATAAAGGGTAAGCGGAAACACGTATAACGCGAAAGGAAGAAAAATAGCACCCGGATCGTGAAAATTCCAAAGTATAGGTCTTCAAGAATTTGCGATTTATAAAATACGAGTGTTAGAAGCTTTTCCTAATACAGGAAGGAATTAATTTTCGTGTTTAAAATAGTTTAGTAAAAATTCAAATTGAACACTGAATAAAATGTGAAAATTAACAAAATTTATGAGCAAACCGCACGTTGAAGTAATTTTTTACTACTTGCGTGTAAAATTCATCTTTGAATTTATGATAATTTTATGTCAATGAACAGCTTGTATTTACCTAACTTAACCTAACCAAAAAACGTATATTTCAGATGTTAAAATAACGTATCAAATCCTGTTTGATTTATATATGAATTGTTCCAAGGATTTTCCCCGAAGTTGGTTATAATTATTCGCGGAAACGTTGAAAAACTTCGCTAAACGCATTGTCTAATATTGAATAGACATGCAGAAACAACTTAATACCACGAAACAATTGTATTAGTATAGAGGTACGTCTGTGGGTTGAGAATTGCGATTCTGTTGCACGAAAATATTGTAGACGACGTGCTGGTACACGTTGCGGAGGTAGGAAATTTATGTGTAGGAAATGTCTGCAAGGATGCGTGATGTTAATTTTGAAATGGATCCATTGTTCAGAGTTTCTAACAGAAGATAGTTTCAAGAGTCAACACCTGGTAGACAGAATATCCGGAAACGAGGGAAGTGTACAATATTCGAGTCACCGTTTCGACTTGAATTGTGTGTGTACGTAATTCAATTTCAGAGTTTTTAGCAGAAAAACAGGAAACCAAAATATTCCACGGTCTAATCTCGAAAAAAAAATTTTTCTGAACAAATTTTAACAATAAAGTTTGTAATAACTATGACGGTGACTGGAACATTGTACATATTTAGGTACGATTTTTTTAGTACACGATATATTTCCGAATTTTACACCATACTTTTAAATAATCGCCATTTAACTAAGATTACCCTTTACATTAATCTCTGATATTACTATATATGTATTAATCTCTGATAATGTACGAAGGAAAATGCATAATTGGATTAAGAAAAAGTAATATTGAATTTACGAAGAAAGAACTTTCACAGTAAAATTACTTTTTTCCAAGAAAAGCTACAAAATGTTATACGTGCTTTTAACTTCGATACATGCAAAATGATTCATTGAGGAATAAGGAATCAAGGTTAGGAAAAATTGACATTTTTTGTTTAAAGCATTCAATAATCAATTTCTATCACTCTAAAATTTTTTTGTTAATTTTAGTTCATAAAAATTGAAAAGTTAGTTAATTATAATTGAATTAAATTGAAGAATTTGTGTAAGGATTTGTGAAATAATTTATGCCAGCTTGACAAAATCTTAGGAGAGCATCGTTACATTGTATCCAATAGCTATGCAAATCTAAAAGAGGGTTGGATGATTCGTAATGGGCTGCAATTAATACGGTTGAATTAGTTACACTGTAATGTTTACTTGATTAAACAAGTAGATTTCAATACTTCAATATTGTCAAAAAATCCCATGTGATGTAATTGTCACTGCAAAGTTTGTTGTAGTTAAAAAAGAAAATCTATTTTCAAAATAACACTTTTCTCAAATTTATATTATGCTACAGGTAATTTTAAAGAGCAAACTATTCTGTCTTAATTTTTTTTTTTTTCGTGTTATATGCATTGGTTTGTAATGTTCTCAATTTAACTGCATTAACCCTTTCGCTGTGAAGATATAAATACGAAATTTTAAAACTATTACTTTTTAACTTTAAAAGCAACTCAAATTAACTCCAATTAAGTGTTCTTCTTTGTGCCAGACACTTCGAAAATATTACCTAATATTTTTTATAATATTACGAAAATATTACATACGTAGTACATGTTAGAATATAACAAAAGTATTACACAATATATGTTAAGTTATGTCACAAGTAACTTCGCTTTCAACAGCATCACAACAAAATCATCTTACATCAACTACCCTCTGAGATCTCATTCGTTACACCCGAAAACTATAACGAACGAATACAAAAATCGAAGCCGTCCAATCTTGAATTTCGCTGAACTCAGGGTCCCAGTAAATACAACGTTCAAGAAGTGACCCGTTTATTTTCTTCCTCCGGACTAGAACTCGAGACAAACACTTGATCATAGGTGGAACGGGGAAGTCGTAATTCATATCACCGGATATCGAAGAAGTCGCTTCTAATAAAGAGGACCGTTTATAGGAATGAAATTTAATTTGCTGCAGTTGCGTTTTCTTTTCGGAACAAGGCTCCCGGAAACGCGAACGGTTATTTATAGGGTGAAACGACAAAGGCGTATTCTCTTTTTCACTTCTCTCTCACACTTCAATAGCTCCTGCTGTCCGGAAGGAAAAATTCGCAATCTCTTACCTCCGATGCTCGCGTTGTACGCGACGCCGACGCCGCAGTATTGGTTGAAAGCAACCGCGGCAACCTCCCCGGCGCACCGCGTCCCATGCTTGTTGTCGCCGTTATCCCTTGGCATCGGATCGTTGTCATTGTCATTGATATCCGTGCTGGCTTGGTGATCGTAATTCAGCGCCAGGTCCGGATGATTCGTCTGTATGCCGTCGTCGAGGATCGACACGACGACACCCTTGCCAGTGTAACTCTTCTGCCACGCAGGGCCAAGATTCATGTCGTAGCCATCTTTGGCTCCTCCGTTCTGGAAAGAGAAAATAGAAGAACGGCGTCGAATTGATGTTCTACCGTTGAAAAATCGGATATTTCGTTGTTGGCTTTGGTGTCCAATGAAATTGGAATCATTTTTTGGGATAAACAAAAGGAGGATTTGACGATCGTTAAGGTTCTTCTGCGTTTAACTCCATCGTACATTATTGATGTGGGTGATTGAAATAAAAGTTTCCTTTTGTATATTCAACTTTTATTAACACGGCTCGGAAAGAGCTCTAGGGACTGTCTCTGGACACCCAAAAAGAGAAAGCTAGGGTCCGCTTATACCTACGAACTGTTTATACTATTGTATTGCAGTGTAGAGCAGTGATGGCGAACCTGTGACACGCCAAGACATTTTGGGTGACACGCATCGTTTACGGACAAAACCGAGCAGATCACAAATAATCGTCACACAAACAACGAAAAACAACGGTGCCTATCTTCTATCAACGAGCTTCAGAATCGTTAATTCGGAGCTGAACCATAGCGAGTCCATGATCGTACGAGGTCGTAACGCTCGCAACGATTATGGATATTTCTAGATGTGACACGACACCCGAGTTAAGCTAGGTTTTTTCCGAATTTTGACACACCGAGCTCAAAAGGTTCGCCATCACTGGTGTAGAGTGTTTCTGCTCTAAGAGAAGTATCTTTGTTTAGAAAAAAAAAACGTTGAGACAATTTTTGTTTTCAGGCGATATATTTTGTGTAATAATCCAACAGACGAGATATCTCGCGTCTCGATATCGTTAATTTAACGCTTTTGACGAGAAATATCGCGCCTTTGTTTCTTAACCCTTTCGCTACGGCTGAATTGGTCGTCGATGCGCCACCGCTGAACGGAACTCCAAGCCATGAGATTGCATTTCCGCGTTAGATTGTTGCTTCGATATTTTTTTTTAGAGATAAGGAAATTTTCATTAACAAGTAATATGCTGTCGAGGACAGATCTCGTTAGAACACTCGCAACGTTTGCTTCGATTCCTGACCGATATTAGGAGCTCGCTATATTTGTTCTACCGACTATATCTTAGAGTTTCTATACTCAGAAATCGCTATTCTATCGAATTTGACTATAAAAAATTGGACATTACAGTAGGAAACACAAAATAGATTTCTAAAACTTTTTTACACTTCCATCTGTAAAGACATTATTGTCACCGTGTTACGTCTCTTCTACAACTGTACAAATTTTGTAAATAATGTTTTCGCTTAAAACTTGAAATAATGGAGATATTTGAGGTGGGCAGAATTGATGAGACACTGTACACTTAATTTTATTTCAGATAAAACTTTCCACCAATTTTAATGCAAAATAATTATTCAAGGCTTTTCCGAATTAGCCTCTCAATTAATGTCACGGAATATTATAAATAAATACCCAGAAACAATGAAAGATCTCTCGAAGGAGACCGCGAAAAAGTGCAGAGTAAGTCGGGTTAAAAGCAAACAAAGAGTATCACCGTGCAATTTACAGTTCGCCGACAAGAAATATGCGCGTTGTACACTGTAGCGAAACGAATGGATGCAATTCGGTAATAACGCATTTTGTCAGAAAATGAAATATTACGTTTGCAATACTTGAAATTAATTAACTCCTCTAATGGCTGGGCATAAATATCGGCCAGTTCTTTCGTGTACCGAAGACCGTAATAAACGATAAATCTTGCCGTGTACGCGTCAGGAAGAATGAATTTATTGGACAACACCGTCGGAACTTTTCGATATAATTCTAATAAAATTTTTCTCTATATGACGAATGACCGTCGAACGGACCGGTGGAAACGGCACGATTCATCGATATGTATATGAACGTTGTCCGCGTCGTGTGTTCGTCCCGTAAATTTATAGAGCGAACGTAAACATTCAATTACAGGACCGCTGTAATAATCGAGCGATTATAAGCACGATAGCACGAAGCACAACCGTAAAATACGAGCTTTGTCGTGGACGTTTCACGAGCGCCGATCATATTCCGCTGCTGCGAAGAATATTTCTCTCTTTTTTTTTGCCCTCTCTTTCTACATTTTTTCTGCATTCTTTTTATCCTTTCGACAATTCTAGCGAATCAACAATGTCGCAATAACATCTGGCCAACGCAAGCATCGTTCAATGTTCCGTTCAGTGCTTTAATGCGGACGGTTGTTTGTATTTTTGGTTTTTGTTTTTTTTCTTTATCCTTTTCGCGTATTTGCTTATTCCACGGTCGAAAAATCGTAAACCTTATCGAGCGTGAAAGGTTTGCAGGAAATTCATTGAATTTCAATCGTAAGGAAATTTTTCGAATGACCGGAGAACGCTTGCCAACGATTCCTCCGCCACTTTGTCATGGTTAAGCGGCTCAAATTTATGAAAATTATTTATGATATACCACGGACGATGAAGAAAATCCGATTGGATAGGTGCATGCTTTATTTAATTTTTAAAGATGATCTCCGGTTTGAATTAGAAAACAGTTCTTTATCAGATTTCAATTCAAGTCCTATTGAGAGTATTAACTATATTTCAGTTGCTTTCTTTTTGATACATCAACCGCGAAGAAAATGCAAACAAAGTGTAAATTCATGTTTCGAAGCTTCAGATTAAAAAATCTCCTTAAATGACTTATCGTTTAAAATAGTGATATGGATATGACAGCTTATTAGGTAAGAGTTGTGACAAATTATACGATATTTTTTAACATAACATGACTTTACAGTTCTTTGTAGAAAAATCATAGATTAAATGATAAATTTGTCGGATCGTAGAAGTTATATCGAATTCAATCCTGTTAGATCCATAAGTGAAGAATATTAATATTCCTTCAAGATTAATTTTTCTTCAGTCATGCAAGATTTATTCTAGAAATGCTTGTAATAGTACCAGATGGATACATTGTAATTCTTATCTAAATAAAGTATAATCTCCACAAGTGTCAGACCGCAAGGAAGCTAAACCTGACAATCATAGAGTCAGGGACTACGTTTTCGAACCTCGCGCCCGCCTTTGTAGTTTGCCGAACGTAGACAAGGACA